AACCTTATTCAAATTAAAAAGTTCTGCTCTGTGAAAGACACTGTCAAGAGAATGAGAGGAATGGGAGAAAATGTTTGCAAAAGATACATCTGATAATCGACTGTTATCCGAAATACACAAAGAACTTGTAAAACTCAACAATAAGAAAACAACCCCATTAAAAAAACAGGACAAAGACCTGAAGAGACACCTCACCAAAGAAGATATACAGATAACAAATACACATGTGAAATGATGCTCCTTATCCTACGTTATTAGGGCAATGTAAATTAAAACAATGACAACACTACATACCTATCAGACTGGCCAAAATTGAAAACATTGATAATACCAAATGCTGGTGAAGATGTGGAGCAACAGGAACTCTCATTCACTGCTGGTGGGAATGCAAAATGGTACAGCCACCTTGGAAGACAGTTTGATGATTTCTTACAAAACTAACTATACTCTTATCATACTATCCAGCAATTGTGCTTCTTGGTATTTACCCAAAAGAATTGAAGACTTATGTCCACATAAACACCTGCACACAGATGTTTATAGCAGATTAATTCATAATTGCCAAAACTTGGAAGCAAGCAATATGTCCTTCAGTAGGTAAATGGATAAATAAACTGTTATATATCCAGACAATGGAATATTATTCAGTACTAAAAAGAAATGAGCTATCAAGCCATCAAAAAAAAAAAAGCAACATGGAAGAATCTTAGTGCATATTATTAAGTGAAAGAAGCCAATCTGAAAAGGCTACATACTATACAATTTCAACTGTATGACATTCTGGAAAAGTCAAAATTATGGAGACAATTAAAAAAATCATTCGTTGCCCTGGGTTGTGGGGAGAGAGGGGAGAGATGAATACGTGAAGCACAGAAGATTTTTAGGGCAGTTATACTACTATGTATGGTACTATAATGGTAGATACATGTCATTATACTTTTGTCCAAACCCATAAAATATACAATACCAAGATTGAACTCACGCAAACTATAAACTTTGGGTGATAATGGTGTGTCAAAGTAGGGTCATTAATTGTAAAAAATGTATCACTGTGGTGTGGGATGTCCATAGTGTGGGAGGTTTTGCATGTGTGGGGATAGGAGATATATGGGAACTCTGTACTTCTTGTTCAAGTTTGCTGTGAACTTGAAACTTCTCTATAAGTTTGTTAAAATAGACAAAAATACAACAGACCATCTGCATTTGTATCATTTTAAGGATTGTGTCCAAACTTCTTAGTGTGGCATGTGAGATCTCTCATGAACTTGTCCCTGCCTAACCATGCATGTTAATTTCTTACGCCCACACTTTGTGTATATGTGTATATACACATACACAAACACACACAAACACATTTTCCCCACCTCTCACTCTAATCATTCAGAACTTGTTGTTCATTGAAGCAAAGTCACTCAGAGCTGTCCCCTCTTGAGTGGTGAGAGTTTCTGCTCTTCTTTGATTGTCTAGTTCTTCCTTGTCTTTCAAGCCTTATTTCTTCAGAAGGCTGTTCTTAATTCTCCTCCAATCTAATTCAAGTGCCTCTAATTGCACCCAGTATGTACCTTCTTTTATCATAGAAGATGTCATATTATTCTAGAATTGTTTATATATGTATATATGTGCTGTATCATTCAATAGATGATGAATTCCTTGAAGTAGAATCTGTGTTGTTTTATCACAGTTCTATGTCCATAGTTGGTGCTTTAGAAAAATTTGTTAGATAAATGAATGGTGACCAGAGGGTGTGGAGTAAGCTCTGATCTTAGAGAATTCCCAGGGTTGACAACTGTGTATGGCAATCTGACCTTAAGGGAAAGTGTGTGTAGTTGCTGGAAGCATTTTACATCTTTAGTTGGAGAGGGCCAACTTCAATCCCTGGTGATGTCAGTACGGCAGCTTTCACCAGCCTGAAAGTCCTCTGGCACTGAAAATACATAAAGTTTGGAAGCTGTTTATGAGACTGAGAAGGTGAGTCAAAAGACCCTGTTCCAGGTTGGCAAGAAGGAACATAGTCCTAAACAGCTAACGCACCATAGTTCACATTAAGCTTCTCATTAATTTAAATGTTAATGTAAATTTAAAACATGTTGTATTGATTTGGAACTATTTTTTATGAATACTGCATAACTGAGCTCTCTAGAAGCAGAATCCAAATGGACATCTCTTCACACCAACTTATGATTAAGAAAAAAAATGAGGCTTTCTCTTTTTCTCTCTCTTGTTTTGTTATGTAAAATCATTTTGTGTTAGTTATGAGGCCTAGCTATGAGAAGCTATGAGAACTTCTGGCTTTGAGTGCCACTGATTTAGACAGTCCTCAGCAAAAGATCAAATTCTGAATGTATTCTTTCAGAGTATTGCATATGTAATTTCAAATATATATGGAGATCAGTGTCTTTTCCATTTCACTGATGAGAAACCTAAAGTCTCTGGGACCATGCTGGTGATTTCAGTCTATTTTGTTAGTTCTTCATCCAGAATCTCTTTCATCGGGATCTATAGTTCCTTATTTAAAAGGAAAACACATTTTTCAAAGGATGTCTTAAGACGTCACATAAGAGAAATGATGCTGATGATAATGCTGATGAAGATGATATCTGGTAATTTTTGTGTATGCTTCCTTACTCTGTGCCAGATCCTTTTAAAACAATTTCTCACTTAATCCCCAGAACAGCACAGAGAGGAAGCTTCTCTCATTACCCTATTTTACAGATTAGGAAACTGTCCCATAAAGAGATTAAGTCACTTTCCTAAAGTTCCACAAACAGAAAGGGATGTTGCTGGCCCTAGGACTCAGGTTGGTCTGACCTCAAGGTCTTTTTCATGAGCATTATTCTCTCTGGGTCTTAAATCACACAGTGTGATTGATACATGCAGACCTAGAGTAGTAAATTTCTTTTTGAAGAGATGCATATGAACATGTAATTAAGGATTTGGTGTTACTATTGAGACGTTGGGTGGATGGATGAAATCCAGAAACCTGGTCTTAGTTCCTGAACACCTTATATCTTATTTCCTTCACTTATACACTATGAAATTTGAACTAATTGATTAGTGAGGCCTCTTCCAGACCCACATTCTGTGAGTCTGTGTAATGATATGATTCACTTTGTTCTGATCAACAAACTCTCTGCTTGGTTCTTCTCTTCACAACCACCCACTACAGTGCTTCTTCACCTCTGATGCCTCTGCACCTGCAGGCAGCCCCACTAGCTCACTTCTCTGTACTCACATGCATACAAAGTGAGCATCCTGATATACACACATTTATTTGAAACACGCTAAATACCAGGCAGAAACTCAGGCTAGAAGATGGAAAAAGCAGCATTTTGTTCTCCTGAACACAGAAATGAAAAACAAAAACCATAGTCCTGGAGAGAAATCAGACAAGACCTTCATATGTCAAAAGAAAAAATATCAACCAATGCATTCAGAGGCTCAGATAATAAAGGACTGAGAGAACCTATTGAAATTGAATATTTACTGGCCTAGGTGTAGCCAACAAGCTCTGTAGGGCCAGGGTATATAGCATAGTAAGGACTGTAGACTCTGGGATCACACAAACCTGCTAACTTCACCACTTATTATCTCTCTTTGGGCAGTTGACTCATGCCTCAGTTTCTTCACCTATAAAACGAGAATCATAATTCAAAATTTTAATAGGGTAGTTATAAGGCTTAATCTGTAAAATGTGGAGAGTTTATTCCAGCACCGGTTATGTAACACAGGCTTAAATTAATCTCCATTACTTACTAACAACAACAAAAAACGTTCATGGGTCAGTTTTAAAATTATCTTTGTAAACAGTAATTGTAGTTATCACTCAATTCTCAATTTTAGGAATTGTTATTGTTTTTGCAGGGCAATGATATATGAAATAACAATTAGATATGAATACTTCACCCAGAAATATTTTTCCCTTGGAAGATATCTGACAGGGAGAAAAAGTCATGATATAATGTCAAATTCTGTAAGCTATCTTACAAATAGCCTCTAGTCCTGCAGTTTCTACAGAATTCCAACGTCTTCCTCTCAACATTAGCATAGCAGGAAGATAGACAGCTGAGCCACTGGCCCCAAAGGGTTATGAATCCTGTGAATTAAAAAATCCAATTTTACTAAAGTCCATGAGATACATAGTTGATTTATTCAATAGAAAAACCTGAAATTGATTACAGTCAATCTAGTATTATTTACCTACAAGTAACTAATTGCCCAGCAGAGATAGAAGCCAGTAACTGAGTACCTAGAATAAATTTACAAAAATTCAAGATTTATCTAAACATGAGGACTTTGCTACCATAAATTCCTCCTGACAATGCTACCTATATCACACCACATCCTCAGAAGGAAAATTATCACAGAATTTGAAAGATGGCAGGGGACTTGGAGGAAATTCTGCACAAAGCTCTTAAGTTTATATGTGGAGAGATTAAGACATGGAAAAGTTTAGATACTTGTCCAAAATTGCCTACCTAATTATGGTAGGGTTATGAATTGAATCTAGTTCGATTCTTAGTCCAATACCTGTATTTACTTATTTTCTTTATTGCTATATCAAACTGAGAAATATGTTAATTACAGTGTATGTTTTCTAGCTTTTTTAATGTCCATTTGGCTATTAGGGTTAGAATAAACTGATAATTATCTCTATTGTTTTCAACTTATGACAGAGGGATGAGGTAAAAGTAAGAAGTCTCCCAAGCTTCTCCAATGAAGTGTGTATGACACATGACACACTTCAGTAATGCAATGCACTGACCATTGACAAAGGAAAGAAGGATCAGCAAATTTAGAAATGAGTAAACTACAGTAAATATCTGTATCTCTATCTTTGCATCTATGTCAATGTTTATATCTATGTCTGTCTATCTGTATTAGAAAAATGAATGACTAAATTCTATTGGGGGAGCATGACAGGCTGGAATATCTAACACTAAATTTGTTCTCAATTGTATAGTATGATTTAAAAATATGATATTTGTGTTGTCTTCCTCCAGGTATAAAAGAAACGTTATCCACAGAAATCCAGAACACTTCTCTAACCTCTTTGGATTTTCTCGGGAAGATCAGGACCGGTTGAGAAATTTTGATATGGTAAGTAAGTTCCAAGTACCACTAACCTGTTTTCTTGTGGCTTCCATTCTAGCTTACAAAGTTCAGAACAAAAGTGATGTTCTGTAAGTCAAAAGAGTAGACAAATGGAAAGCCAGATTCCACTTTTTATAGATGATGCAGTTAATATCTGAAAATGTTGTTTCAGCATGTAAGCTTCCTAACATTTAACTCCAGCACTAGATAGATTTACCCATCCAGTCCCAGGAAGTGCTAGGCAACTGCAGGCTCTCTCGACATGGCAGGCTGCCCCGTAAAATTTCCAGTGTAGATACCAGGTGTGAATTCTTCTTCCTGTAAATACCCAGCCCTAAAGCTGAAAGTGAAGAGAATGGGTTAAACTATAACCGACGAAGTTTTGCTCCCCAGTTCACCAATCACATAAGCAACTCTAATGACCAAGGGAAGGAGAGAGAGTAAGGCAAGTACAGAGAAGCCAGAATAGCTAATATAATGGAATTTTTTTCCAATGGAGAAATAAAATAGAGATAGGGAATAAGTGTTCTTCCCAAATACCATTGAAGAATAGGAGAGTCCTGCCAAGAAGAGGAAGGGCTCTTTACAGTTTGCATGAGGATTTTGTTAACCTGGTAGCACACTAAGAGAACCCCTCCTGAGTGATGGAGGGAGCCACAGCACTGTGATTTCTCCTGCTTAAAGAAGCAAGCCAGATTCTAAGCAGAATTTTTGCCAACTGCCTGTTAGACATCATGTATTATTAGAATCACAATGGGCATGTTGTCTGTATTGTCACAGAGCATATGGCTATATGATAGACTGCTGGCATTTGTGGTTTTTACTGTTTTTAAAAATCCCATTACATATAGTAATTTTTAATTTTTCAGGCATACTATTAAATTATTCTGTAAAGAGGGTGTGGAGGGAACAGTTTATCCAGGTAAGTGAGCTTAGCTGACTTTTTAGTGGACTTGTCTCGATGGGAATTGTAATTGTAATTTAATATATCATCTGTGTCTCCTGGATTTATTTGTTGGTAAACATAAAACCAAGGAAAGGAAGCTTATTGAAAGTATAGAAAAACAATCATAAGCTTGAAGAAAAGTAAAATAATAGACTTGGTATAGGGCTATGGACCAAGCCAAGCATCTGTAGAAGGTCTTGGTAGCAGCACCCACTTAATAGTTTCAACTGGTTGGTGCCTCTAGAATAAATGAACCATGTTCCCTTTCATCTTGCTATTTCTTCATCTGAGATTCAAGATCATGCAAGAAAAAGTTTTATTTTGGCCATGCAATTTGGTCAGATTTTGGTGGTTTGCCCTCCCCTTGGTTATACTGGAGTAGCAAAAGAAAACATACAATGGATAGGAAAGTTTTATCTTCTATAATGGAACAGCAGTCATCTGGATTTGCCACTCCACCACGAATACATATCATGGAGAATAATTAATCATCAAAAATGAGATAGTGCTTAGCATCAGGATGAAGGAGTCTATATTTAATATTATTTAATCCACAGCACCTTGTAGCATAAAGGGTGTATCACCTACTAACGTGGGTGATCTACAAAAATGTATGTACTACAGTGACATTTAGAAAGTTAATTATTGGCAAATGTCTCTTGGGTATATCCTTAAAGAATGTCAAGGGACTACTAGATTGATCAACCTTTTAACTTTGACACTCAAAAGTTGTATTTCTGCAAGGTTTATGTAAGCTTGAAAGTATGAAATCAACTAGTCCCCCAAAATGAAAAATCTTTTGCTGAAAGAGAGAAAAGGACCAGTAAGGATATAAAAAAGACTGGAAATTCACTGGGGGAGCCAAACCTAAAAATCTTTCATAAAGCAAAAACCTTAACGAGGGGAGGGATAAAGTGGTTCTAGGTTAGTAGGGCTTCCTGCTCCAGAAAGAAACAAATGCAAATCCTAATTTAGAACCCTAATTTAAGACCTCAGGATTCCTCCAGATGAAGTTCAACCAAAGATGTGCTCACTGTTGATATTTAGTAAAAATAAATATATCTGTTGAAAAAAATGATTGAATGAATAATTAATTTTAAATATATTAGACAGTTTTCCAAAATATACATGTTTAACCATCTGTTTTTAAATGAGTCCATATCAGTTTTCTCCCCTTTTTCCGTATCCTCAAATCCTTTATAACATTATTCTTTTAGCATAGCATTAGGAAACCAAAATGAAAAAACATAAAACAAAAAAAACACAGGTAACTTAAGAGGAAGCTATTATCCATCCCTGATAGATCTATCCTAAAGAATTTACCTCAGAAGTTCAAGGCTATCTGGTTCCTGTGCACCAATAAATCACAGCATAATAAAATCAAACCATAGTGGGGGCATTCTAATTTTAATTTTTTCTTGAGATTTATGAAGTATCTAATCGTATTTTGAATCAGTTAGTAAAATGAATGGATAGCAGGTTCTGTAGGAATGTTTGGATATTCAGGGAAATTTTCCAACAACCTTCTGCAAAAACATATTAAAATCTTAGGGGAGGTCAGAGAATACAACCATTCCTCTGATTAACTATCACAGCTCTTCCCTATCTATTGTATATAAACTCTGGCATGCAGATTTTTGTCCCATTTGGAAATGTTATCCTAATAGGAATTGGCCTACCAGCACTTATTTCTGACTTCTCCTTGCTAATAGAAGGACTGAGAATTACTGTCTTCTGGAAGGTGGTCAAACAGTGCAACAGATTGGAACAAGTAAGGTTCCAAATAGCCTTGTCAGGTTTGTGATTCATATACAAAAAGTAGACATCTACATGGGTAAATTGCAGTGGCTGTTCCTTGATGATTGACATTTTTATTTAGGAACAAATAGAGTTCCACTTATTCCTGGAAACCTATCTATAAATTAGATCCCCCAATGTCTAAAATGAGATATGTAATTTGAAGTGAAACAATATTATTGCCCCAATCTAAAGAGAACTTAAAGGATATTTGCTATTATCACATCCATGGGAATTTTTTGATAAAAAATACATAGCTTTTTCCGGTTTGGGTTGCCTCTGAAATGTGGCAGTATTGGTAGTGGCTGAAAGAGTTATTAGAGCTGATTCATAGAGTTCATGGTAATAGAAAAAGCATGCCCACATTCCCATGACTCAGGCCCTCGTTAACAAATATTTACACCATAAATCTGGTGTAGCCCTATTCAGGGAGATCTCAAGCCCTATGGGATGCCTCCTCCTAGATCTTTACATTAAAAACTGAATTAAAACACTCAGTAGTGACAAGAGTATAGAGAAATAGTGTTTTTATAAATGGATGTTGAGAGCGTAACTTGATAAAACTTTCTGGAGACTAACATGGCATGTTATCAAAAGTCTTTAAAATGTGCCTGCCTCTGACCTAACATTTTCTTTACTAAGATTTATCTTAAAGAAATCAGTAAACAAATGAATATAGATATATGTACATGCATAAGCACTGGAGCATTGTAAACAGTTGCAATATATTAGAAACAACCTAAATACCTGAAAACAAAAGATTTCTTATAATACGGCCTGTTGATATAATAAAACACTATACTGTCATTAGTAATGAAGTTGCTGCTCTGAATATATAGACATGAGAATATGTTCACAATACATTATTAATTTAAAAAATCTGATTACAGTAATTTGTGCAAATATGATATCAATAATTATATGTTACATATATATTATGTATTTTATATGTATAGAAAGAAATCTGAATAATAAGGTTATGGCTTATTCTTTTTGTATATTCTTTTTTTAATAGAAATAAATAGGCATGTAAGTATATAACTTGAGAGGAAAAAAATAAATTGCAAACTAAGGGAAAAGTTCTTCAAAGGGTAAGAGAAGACCCTCTACCTCCATGAAAAGATATATACACATACTACCTCTTTATAATCCATATTGTTTTCACTCTAGAAGGAGGCCTTGAAAGGAGGTGGATCTGTGGACCTATCGTGTTTTCCTGGGAATGGGGCTGAGCTGTGACTCCAATTGTCCTAGTTTATAAGTGATGACATCTCTTGCCTGTTGCTGTAAGTCATAGAATTGAGGGGCTATGGCCACTAGCAATAGGGTAACAAGCATGGGGGAGGGGAACTTCAAACAAAACCAGTTGGTCATTTACAAATAGGACTAAAGAACAAGAATGTGAGATATAATTCCCAGGGCTGGGATTGAAAAGAGACATTGAGGATGATTGAAAGGGGAAGGCAATAATATATGCGCTGCTCAGTAACAGGGTAAAGCCAAGATTACTTCTGGTGTGGTACATATTTGGTTCTCAGTGAAAAGAGTACCTGAGTGGCAGTGACGAAAATGTCAGATTCACAACCCTGAAAGCCTGTAAAGTGCAAAAGAAAGGGTGCCTGCTCAGGAAGGTGCCAACGTGTTGCTTGGGAGAACTTTAGCTCTTGTATAACCACTATCAAATCTTCGGAAGCAACTAAATTCTCAAGTAAATGCCCTTCAAGCTAAGTCCCCTTTTCTTTCATCCAAATTGCTGACACTGCCCCTTCTAGAATATTGCAATGTCCACTAAAAAAATGAACAATCTAAAAATTGAGAATTATGTTTTTATTCCAGGAACTTACTGAGGACTACAGCCCAGGAATCGGCCTCTCCGATAGCTCTGAGGAACTCTTCCAAAGAGGTAAGGGAGAAGCCAGGATATATAGGAGATTTTGCTGAAAAAACAAAACCAAAAAACACGTAGTTGGTCATCCAGAGATTACTGTTAATCACAAAAAACAGACATCTCAAGTTAATAATTTTAGTGTTTTTCTATGTATAGGAAGATCCGAGAGTCTGGGCTCATCAAAATTATTCCTTTCGTATGCATTTTAACTATCTAGGGCCAGTATTGTGCTTTTCTCCATCCTGAATTCCCCTCAGCGTTCACCACTGGGGGGAGTTGCAGTGGCTGATGGCTTGATGGAGGGCAACATACATTGTTTACTGAAATGGCAGGCAACATTTTTTGTCAATGAGAACCACCACCATACCACATTCATGGAGTAGCTAGTAACCCTGAGGTAAAGAAAGGGTCCTTTGCATTTAAGGCTAAGACGGGAGCAGCCCAGTAGATCCAAGTTCCCTGGAAATCGCTTTCCACTTAGCATTCTTGAGTGGATCTGTGTCGGTGCCATGAAAGGTTAGGAATTTCTCTGTTAAGAGATCTTGAATGGTATCCTCTTATCTTATCGTTACTATTGTCATAAAAATAATGGCTGGTAACAGTAATGGAGGAAGGACTTCCTATGCATATTACTGGAACTAAGCCTCTTCCCAGGAATTATCTCAGCGAATCCTCAAGCACCCTTTCAACCTTCATGTCAGAGATAAAGACACTGAGGGGAAGAGAAGTAACTGTTCAAGGTCATTCAGATAGAAAGGAGGTGGATGTGGGATTACAATCTAGGCAGTATGATTCAAATCTTCTTAAACTTTGGCAGCTCTTCTGACTCTGTAGAGCAGAAGACATTATAATGTTTATTTCTGATGACAGTTGTTTGAAGTAACAGTAATCATTAACGAAGTCTGACATCAGATATAACAAAGCAAGAGGCCCACAGGACTCTGACGTTGGAGTTTTCAGATATTCTTTTTTTTTTTTTTAATAACAAAAGAGGGGAATTGGTGGGTTAGAACCCCATGACTCATCTTTAGTTTTCTTCTTTTGCCCTAACCTAAGGAATACATCTATGATAAATAACAAGATATGAAAGACTTCCATAGCTTTAAAGGAAAGATGTCCAAAGCATATAGCATCGTATGGTAGTATCATACTTGAAGGGGGAAAAGCACACTCTAAGGATAGAGTATTTAGTTAAGTGGTAACCATTTGGAAAACAGAGGTGAAATGAAAATTGCCTGCTAAGTGTCAGCTGTTCCACAGCACATTTCAGCTAAGAATGCTTAGAAATAAAATACCTGAGAAGCCAAACTATTTCCAGTTACATTTGTATGTGATCTTATTTTCTCTGTGTGTGAGACAGCCTTCAAGGCTGTCACTGTCATCATGGAGCATTCACTCACTCGTTCAATAAATGTTTATTGAACATGTATATGATGCTGTGGAGCTAGGCACTGGGGTGACCCAGTGATTTTATATTCTCTTTTGTGGAGTGAAGCAAGGACAGAGCCGAGGAGCTTAATATCTTAATAGTGTGTGGTAGAGATGAGAAGAACAGATGCACATTAACATAAAGATATATGCGCTTGCCCACATATATGCATATGCTTTCTTGCCACACTGCAGGAGAGAAATATCAATCACACTGAAGATATTAACAGAATGTCTGGGTGGCTTCCGCCTCAGTTGTGGAAGATTTCATGGATGAGCTGAGTTTTGAAAAGTTTTGGAAAAAATGACAGCATAAAGTATGGTGGCACAGAATATGGAGACATATTCTGTTTTGGCAGAGATAATGACACAAAGGATCTGAAGAATCCTCAGTGTCTTCAAGGAGTGTAATTTGAATTAGGAGATAGCTCAGGTGAACTGGTTAGTGGAGGTTGAAATAGCAGAATTTATGCGTATGTTTTTTGGAATATTTTTAAGTGGAGTCTAAAGACAAGGCAAAACAAGACACCCTCTCCATATCCTTTCTGTAGAATCTAAAGCCTTTGCATGTGAGATGATACGTAATTATTACCCTTAATTCTAGCAAAGGAAAAAATAAAAGTAAACCAAAATCCTTTTCAAAGGCTTTGGCTTTAAATCAAGCTGGGATAAAGCCCCAGCTTTGCAAGTTACTTTTTAAACTTAAAAAAGTTACTTGCTTCTCTTGCCTTCAGATCCTCTATACAGAAGGGTTATTGGGAATCAATGAATGTAAAGAAATTAGCATACTGTCAGACACATAATACATGCTCATTAAACTTAAGCTAGGTTATTATCAATAATACCTCTTTACCATTTCATTAAAATATAGCACACACTGATTGATGCACAATAATATGCAATTTGGTTTTTGCTTTAAAAATAGGTTTATTGAAATATCACGATATCCTGCAAATTGTGGCAAGCAGTGTGGTACAATATGAATAGAGTCCTACTACAAGGACATTGGTGTCTATTGGAACATTTTTAACTAACTGCAATGACTAGTTGGGGGTGGTGATTTGTTCTGATTTGTTCTTTACTTATCTATCAATGCCTAAGAAATTCAGGGCTCTCTAAAGCATTTTTTGATTATCAGAAAACAATTTCCAAACGCCTCTAGAACGCTGTACTGTTGACGCATTTTTGTACTTTAAAAAGTATGTTCTGGTCAATAAAATACTTTTACCTTTATAAGATATGATGCTCACAAGGGGCCTGGGAGGTAAGCCCAGGGCTAGAGGGGATGAATGGAGGGGTGGGAAGATGACTGGAGGAAACTGACATTTCAAGGATTGAAATGACTTGACAGAACCAAGGGAGTAAGAAAGCAGGAATTTCTTCTTTATGTTGCCTCTGCATAGAATGAATGAGTCACCTGTTATTCCTTGGACTCCAGGCTGTGCCAGCCCTGAGGAAGTGAGTGAGTCTCTGGCATGTGTTTTTGAAATGTTCAGTTTTCTTCTTTAACCACTCTTTCTTTTCTCTAGTCAAATATAATTCCCTGCTGCTCCTGGGCTTCTGGACAGCTACTAAGATCACACCTCTGCTCCTTCCTTTTCCTTCCCCTTTGATCAAAAACACTTTATTCTGCAATAATAATAACTGGAATAAAATGTGTTATATCCACACAATGGAAAATTATTTGGCAATCAACAGGAATGAAATTCTGGTATATCCTATGACATGGATGAAACTTGAAAACACTATGTTGAATGAAAGAAACCAGACACAAAAGATGACATATGGTATGATTCCATTTATATGAAATGTTGAATATGAATATGATATAGATATAGTTCAATAGCAATTTGAATACAGATTAAGCAAATGTATAGAAATAGAAAGCCGATTAGTGGTTGCCAAAGGCAGGTGAGAAGGATGGGGAATGACCACTAATGGGTAGGGAGGTTTCTTTTGAGATGACCGAATGTTCTAAAATGAGACTGTAGTATGGTTGCACCACTGTAAATGTACTAAAAATCATGAATTGTCCGTTTAAATGAGTGAATTGCATGGTATATGGATTGTACCTCAGTACAACTGTTAAAAAATAATAATAACAGGAATGGCCAAAATTATTGTAACCATGTCATGTTTGCATGGGATAAATATTTTGCATATATTAAGTTTGCATACCTATTTAACCCTCAGAACAACCCTCTGAAGCTGGTACTGTTTTTATTTCCATTTTCTAATATGAACAAACTGAGAAAAATTAATCATCCAAGGTCACACAGCTAGTAAATGGCAAAGGTAGGATTTGAACTTGGGAAGTCTGGCTTCAGAACTCTGCTCTTAACTACCTTGAAATACCTTCACATGCAATTGACAGTCTTCCTCTATCTTTATATTCTCTATTATCCGGGCACATGGGAATGCTTGCTGTGCCCAGATCTCCCCCGTGCCCTTCCTTGCAATTATTCATATGCTTTCTCCCTTCCCATTCATTTTTTCTCCACAACTTTGAGGTGTAACTCATATATAATAAATTGGACATATTTGAAGTGTACAATATCATATGTTTAGATATATATAAGCACTGCCAAACAGTCTCCACAGACTCTTGATCTTGGTCTCCACAATCAAGATAATCAAGATAATAAACTTATCTATCACCCCCAAAAGTTTCCTCATGATCCCATGTCCCCCTTCTATTCTGACCCTCCTCCCCCAACTCATTCCCAAGCCACTCTTGATCTTTTTCTGTCATTACAGATTCACTTTTGTTTGCTGGAGTTTTATGTAAAAGGAATCATATAGTATATAATTCTTTTTGTCCAGATTCTTTTCATAATTATTCTCATATTTATTCATGCCATTTCATTTCTCAAAAGTGTAGTGGTCCTTATTGCTGAGTAATATTCCATTAACTATGTATACTGCAGTTGGCTTATTCATTCAGGTTTTGATGTACATTTGGATTGTTTCCAGCTTTTAGCTATTGCAATTAAAGATGCTATGAACGTTGGTACACAGATCTTTGTATGGACATATGCTTTCATTTCCTTTGCATAAATACTCAGTAGAATGGCTGTATCATATAGTAAACTAAACTCTTCTAATATTTTACATTCCTACCAGCAATGACTGACAGTTCTAGACCCTCCACTTCCCTGCCAACACTTTTTGATCTTCGTCATTCTAATAGGTATATAGTGTTATCGCATTTCATGGTGGTTTTAACTTGCATTTCCCTAGCCACTAATGATGTTGAGCATCTTTTAATATGCTTATTTGCATCATTCTCGTTAGAGTTGTCTGTTTTCTTATTAGGTTTTGTGAGCTCTTTATGTATTCTGGTATGTCTTTTGTGAGATATATGGTTTGGAAATATTTTCTTCCCGTCTGTAGCTTATCTTTCCTTTCTCTTAAAAATGTCTTTTCAAGAGCTGAAGCTTTTAACTTTGGTGAAGTCCTATTTATTATTTTTTTCTTTTATGGATCATGTGTATTATATTAAAATATTTTTGCCAAAATCAAGATCATGAAGACTTCTCGCCTATGTTTTCTTCTGCAAGCTTTATAATTTCACACTTCACAGTTAGGGCTATGAACAATTTTGAGTTAATTTTCACATGTGGCATGAGGTATGGACCAAAGTTCACAGTTTTGCATATGGATATCTAATTGTTGCAGTACTTCCTGCTTAATGACTATCCTTTCTCCATTGAACTATCTTTGTACCTTTATCAAAACATTCCTCCTTATTTTTGCCTATCAAAATCAAACTTATCCTTCAAGGTCAAGTTTCGATGCCTCACTCTCTAGAAAACCACCCCGAAGTCTCCTACATACTACACTTTGCATTCATTCATAGTCGAATTAAAAAAAACTCATATATTAATAGTGATTATATCCCGTTGTGGGGTTTGGGATGATTCGTTATTTTGGCTAAGCACTTTGTCAGTACTATCTGAATTTTCTACCATTAGCACTTATACTTCATAGAGAAAAATAACTTGATTTTATATATTCATAGTATATTCCTTGTGACACACTTTTAAGTAGTTTTTTTTTCCATTTTGAGCAAATAAAATCCAATCTACCTGATATATATAAATATATATATACATATATTTATATACACATACACACATACATTCTATTTGCTCGTGTAACCAAAAACTTCTCAGAACGGAGTAGCTTTAGGCATGGATAGATCTAGATACTCGATAACTAGTGTGTGCAGTCTGTCACTGCTAATCTCATAGCTCTCCTCTCATCACTGCTGGCATTTGTCTCAGGCAGCCTCTCCTATGTGGTGGCAAAGAACTCCCCAAACAGCTGTAGGTTTACATTACTTTGGCAGCCTCAGTGGGTCAAGTTCCTTCCGTATTGTCCTAGTAAAACATTCTGTGGTTGGCATGCCTTGCGTCACCTGCCTTCTCACAACAGTTCTGTTAATAGGTTGGCCAGGTTATTTGTTACCACATGACTACATATTAGGTGGTCAGCCTTGTCTGAGTGTCTGAACATTAAGTGCTGGAAAGAAAACTGAGAAGCTATATCAAAAGAATAACTAAAACATGGTAAAATGGCTAAAATAACCAATGCCTACCACTTTACCTTTTTATATCACCCAAACAATCTGGTTACATAGATATTGCCCAAATTTTAGAAATTTGGAAACTGAGGCGTAAAGAGATAGTAGACTTAATCAAGTTCACTGTCATAGTTTCCTATGGCCGCTATACCAAAGTACCACAAACTTAGTGACTTAAAACAGCACAAATGTATTATGTTTCTGGAGCTCAGAAATCAAAACCCAGCTCCAAGGGGATAAAATTAAGGTGTGAGCAGGGTTGCTTTTCTTTTAGAGGCTCCAAGTGAGTTTGTTTCCTGCCCTTCCCCAGCCTCCAATGGCCTTGACTTGCGGCCCCTTGTTCTTTATTCAAAGACAGCAGCGTGACATCTTCAAATCCATTTCTCTCTAACTCTGACCCTCCTTACTTACTCTTATTGGAGCCCTCCTGGATAATCCAGGATAATCTCCTCATCTCAAAATCCTTGACTCAGTTATACCAGTGAGGTCTCATTTGCTACATAAGGCAACATATCCACAGGTTCTGGGGATTAGGATGTAGAAATCCTTGGCAGGGGGGCATTATTCAACCTAATATAGTCACAGTGCTGTTAAGTGGTAATGTTGAGAGGTAATGTTGAATTCATGTTTTCCAAATTGAAGATCAGTGTCTTTTCTACTTTATCACAGATGTATCACATAACAGTGGCTGTGTATAAGCTTGTCTAGGTTTCAAATTCCTAGAGAGCAGGGAATTTCACCTACCATAACAAACTCTGTGTGCGTGTGTGTGTGTGTGTGTGTGCGTGCGCGCGTGTGTGTGCGCGCGCACGCTCCTGTGGTGGACAGGAGGAGGGGGTGCTTTTTTCTAAGACAACAGGTAGAGGCAGAAAAAAAGGTTCCATTTCACTTTCCACCTTGCATCATTCCACAGTGGCAGTTGCCTCCTTGGCCCTCCCTCTTGATTAATAAAGCAATAGTGTAGGTTTGTTTGTACCTCCTTTATTTGATAAATTCTGTTTCCAGCAAAAGAATACAGATTCCATCAGTAGGCAAATCACTTAATAGTTTTCAAATGACAACTATAATTCTTTCTCAACTGTCCCTACATGTGCGAAGAGAAGCAGAGAACCAAGGCGGTTATATGAATAATTTAAACAATAAAACTCTATTGGCTCAATTATCTGATTATTTCAGCAAGCATCTGGATACAATTTTAAGTTTTTCTTCTCTAACATTTTTTAGTTTACTTGAACATTTGGAGGCGTTGTCTTATAATAAATTATTTATTTCTTCTGTGCTCTAAATTCAATTTAACAAACATTTAATGAACAAATAACATATGACAGAAATCGTGCTCACTTCTATTGTGGCTAAAAAGGTAAAAAACAAAGAATCTCGTTCTCATGGAATTTTCAGTTCCAACAGGAGAATGATACAATTATACCAATGACTATAAATTTTGGCAGAATGATTGAGGTAGAAAAATAATGGTAAAAATGTTTAAAGGGAGAACTATAATTCAGTTGGGAAAAATTTGGTGAAATTTCTGGTAGAAGTATCCTGGAGCATGGTTAAGAGTTTGCAAGGCAGAAGTAGCATAAGAGAGTGTCGTCGGTGGAAAGAACCACAAAACAAGGAGGCAGGAAACCTAGGACTAATCTTGGGAACCACAGGTCCTCTGGTTAAGCTGGGACATGGGGAATGTACAAGGATTCCCAAGAACTAAAAGACTTGAAGGAACCGTTTTTGTCCAGCATCTAAAAGTATCTAATTTATTCATCCCAGCACCCTAGTAGTTTTCAATATGTTTGTATTGAGAAGATGTTTAGGCAATGTCTAGAGGCACTTCCATTTCCAAAATGGGGGTGGGAGGGGGGTGTGGGGGGAGGGAGAAGGCAGGGTGATACTGCCATCTAGTGGATAGAGGCCAGGGATGCTGCTAAACGTCCTACAAGGCATAGAGCATCCCCCCCAAAAAACAAAGAATTATCTGGCCCCAAATGCCAAACTGTGCCACAGATAATAAATGCTGCAGTTACCTTATGAGGCTGTATTATTATTTCCTTTTCTGACAAACTGAAGTATTTTGAGATTACACATCTTGCCTGAGATCATTAAATAGTAAATGGCAGACCAAGATTAGGGTCACAATATAGTGAGGAATGTGGACATAATCAAGAAGCTAATGAGAGTCTCTGAACA